GGGCTAACCCAGGCTGCTCCGTACCCTTCACCCTCCCCGGGAGTTGTTGCCCAGTCCTGAGAGTCCAGTGGATCACCCCACTGGACCCGCAGGCCATCCCAATTCAGGGCACACTAGGGAAGACAGAGCCATTGGAGGCTCTTTCCCGGGGGCCGCGGATGAAGGTGGAAGCCAGGGGACCCCCTCCCCCAAGCATCTCTCCGCAGGGAACCGAGGGGCCCCAGCTCCTCCCACTGTGTCAAGCCTGGAGACCGTTTTTCTGTCTTTAGCCCAGCTTGTCTTTCCCGAACCTGTGTGTCTGTCTGTCACCTTGTCACTTGAACGTCCTCCTCAGGTGTCCTAATGTCCAGTTTGGACTGTTGATTTTTTCCCGCCTTCACTGTTAATGGTGCCAATCTTCTTGGCGTGTCTAGAGGGTCTTCACCTGCGTGCCAAGCTGGTGATGCTGCCACAGCCAGAGCTTGAGATGTTTGTGTTTCTGTAAGTCTTTCCTCTGAGGTCCCGTCCATCAGAGGGAAGAGATCAGCCCTTTCGGGACCCGCTGGAGAGGAGGCTTGCCAGGTCTGGCGCAGACAGTGTGGACTAAGAGCAGAGGACCTGGGCTCTGGGACGCCCGCTGAATCCTGCTCCTAGCTTCCGTTTGCTTTGGGGGATCGAGCCCAGGGCCTCAGACGCGATGGCTGGCCACAGCCCTGCCCTGGCCCCTGGGTGTGTATCCCTTAAACTCTCCCTGTCTCAGCACCGCTCACGAGGGCTTACAGGTTGGACTGTGGTGCCTCCGAGGCACGTGGGGGGGGAGGGGGGGAGTCTTGCCTCCAGTTCTTAGACTGGGCCGTTCTGTGGAGATGAGGGTCTTTGTAGCTGTCAACTCCATGGGAGGTCACAAGGCTGGTGTCCTTGTCAAAGGGGGTCGTGGGACATTGAGACACGAATCGGGACCACATGGGCAGACCTGGGCGGAAGTGACCACTGCATACCAAGGACAGCAGTCAGGCCACAGTCGCCCTGTCTATCCTAAGAGGGTGCCACCCGCCAGAGTCTTGGTTAGGGACACCCTGATCTGCAGAACGAAGGATGCAGAAGGAAATCCCGTGGTCTACGTGAGCCCTGTGTTTGCCAGGCAGTCCTGGCAAATCTGATGCTGAGGCTGAAAGCAGAATCTAACGCAGTGTGAGCACTGGGAGAGACCCAGGGCCTGAGCACACCTTCACGTGATGATCGAGGTGGAAGCGGAGCCCAGAAGGGTTAAGCAACTTGCCCAGGATCACACAGCACTCAGCGTGTTCCCCGGGCTCTTGCACTCTCTGGCTCTGTCTCAACTCTGGGCTGCCTCCTGTCCCGACAGAACGGGCTTCGGGCTTCCTGCCAGCCCGTGCCTCCTCTGCCTGTAGTTGGTGCCGACCCACACGAGTCCCTCGTCTTTTGCACGGCCAAGGGGAAAAAAGAGGAAAAAGCAGCGCAGGGCAGGGGGCGGAGTCGGGCAGACGGGATCCAATCAGATCACTGTAGATGGAGTGGCCACGCCTCCGCGCTCACCGATTGGAGGATGGGTGACACTCTCTCCTCTATAAAATAGATGCCCCGTTGCAGGGTACCTTGGGATCTGGGGCTGCCCAGGAGTGGCCCCGAGCACCAATAGGTGTTGTCCCCAAACGGAACAAAACAGAGCAAGACCAAAGGTCGCATTAGCCTCCAGCCAGAAGGCCCTTGGGTCCCCCTCCCCTCCCCCCGCCCTGCTCCCAAGAGGACAGGAGCGGGGTCAGAAGCCAGGCTCTGCATCTTCGCTCCTTCTAGTCCATTAGATACTTGTGAACCCCAACTGTGTGTGGGCCCCGGGGACCCAGCGGCCAGGAAGACAAAGTCCTGCATTCAGCAGCAGAAATCGATCCGCAGACCTCGTGCCTCCGGGCCTGCGCCGTGAGCCAGGCTCTGCAACTGGCCTGTGCCACCGTGCCAGCTCCGCGGATGGACTCGCTTCTCACCCCTGCTCCAGAGCCAGGCACAGAGAGGTGGTGGGCTGACTGCCTGAGCCACCCAGCCCGTGAGTCACGGGTAGGTGTGAGTCACTCCTCACAGGTGTGAGTCTCATCATCACGACCACAATCAAAATAGCTGACAGAAAGAGAAATGTGGGCTGGAGGGATAACACAGCGGGGAGGGCGTTTGCCTTGCACGTGGTTGACCCGAGTTCAATCTCCGGCATCCCATATGGTTCCCCTGAGCACCACCAAGAGTAATTCCTAAGTGCAGAGCCAGGAGTAACCTCCGAGCATTCCAAAAAGCAATAATAATAATAATAATAACAATAATAATAAATTCTGCCCCCATGGAAAGAAAAGTAATAGTTAAGAATAATAATTACAGGGCTGGAGCAATAGCACAGTGGGTAAGGCATTTGCCTTGCATACGACCAACCCAGGTTCAATTCCCAGCATCCCATATGGTCCCCTGAGCACCGCCCGGAGTAATTCCTGAGTGCAGAACCAGGAGTAACCCCTGTGCGTTGCTGGGTATGACCCAAAAAGCAAATAAATAAATAATAATAAAACCATGTGGCTGAGAGCTCAAAGTGCTTACAGGAAGGTCCCTCCCAACACTTCTCTTTGAGAGGTGGAGAAACTGAGGTTCAGAGCACTGCTGGGGGTGTGAGGGCCCCAGAGCTGGGTGACAGCATCTGTCTCTCCCACAAGTCTGACTGTTCTCATGCCAGGCCCAGGGTTCACCTGGATGGTGAGGGAGGATGTGGGTTGGCGGCTTCATTGGTACCAGGTGATGGAATCAGCATTAACTGGTCATTCGGGCAGGCTGGTCATCATCCCCCCCCCCCCGATGCGTGAGGCAGGAGCAGGGGATGCACTCAGGGAGCCCCTTCTCTCAGGGCAGATACTTTCCGAGGCAGAGAGGAACTGTGGCTTCACCCCGCGGGGGTCCCCTCACCCATCTGTGCGTCCGATTTCATATCCAGGCACCAACCCACTCTCTCCCCCACACGTCTGTCCATCCGCCCACCCATTCACCCGCTCATCTGTCCATTCGCATGACCACGTACCCAAACACTGATCATTCTATCCACCTCCCCACTCACCCAACCATCCACCCATTCATTCTTGCCACCCATCAATCCGTTCACCCATTTGTCCATCATTATCAAAACATACATACAGCCACCCACCCACTCATCCATCATCAATAATCCATCTCCTCACTTATCCATCCGTTCACCTACCTGTTCATCCGGCATCCATCCCCCACGCCTCCAGCCTCCGGCCCACGTATCCATGAAACTACCCAAGTGTCTGCTCACGCATTCATCATACAAACACACACACATGCATCCATGTGTTCCTCCTATCCAGACACCTGAGGACAGAGAAAGAAAAGGTCCAAGGGAGGAAACCAGCCAGATGTCCAGCCATTTTATTTGCCAACGCTGTCATCCCGATACAGTGCCCTCAGGGGGAAGTCCAATGGCCAGAATCTGAGGGGCGTCCAGCACAAGGGGCCACAGAGCTGTCATCTCAGCAGCGTCTGAGAGCACGGAGTCCCGAGGTGCCGCTGCCTCCTATGGTCCTGCCATCCTTCTCCCTCGCCTCCCCCACACGGGGGACAGTAGCTGCACGGATGTAGGAGACACACCATTCCCGCTCCCCCAGGCCCATAGAGAGGGACACCCAGACCCACAGCAGAGTCCAGAAAGAGACACGAGCACCCAGAGGGGATGGAAGGTGCAAAGTCACATGACCACCCCCAAGAAACCCTAAATGCACAGACACACACACGCAAAGGCCCTGGAGGCATGTTAGGACCCTCCTTGTGGGCAGAGAGGCGAGGGCACCTGCCCACCGCTTCATCAGCCTGCCCTGAGGCCAAACTGCCCCCCATATCGCTTTCCTGTCCCCTCACTGACACTGGCAGCACTCTGGGATCGCGGGGCATCACAGAGGCTCCCTGAGCTGGTCTCTTCCGGTGGCCGAGTCCCTGAACTCGATCTCGGTCATCTGGGGATGGTGTGGCCCCCCTGGACAGGTTCTTCGCGTGGCCACTGCATGGCCACCGTGTGGTGACCACTCAGCGATGCTGCCCCAAGGCCTGAGCTGAGGCTGGGACCCACTTTCTCTCCCAGTTTTCAGCAGTGACCCGCAGACCACTTCCCAGGGGACGGTCCCTGGGGGAATGGAGCCACTCAGGGTCTCACCCCTTCCCCAGCCCAAGGCAAGGATACCAGAATGAGAAACAGCACAGACTGCGGAAGGATACGGTATAAATAAAAGATTCATATAAAAATAGTCTCTTATAAAATAATCTCTTTATCCAGTGGTGGCTCACCCTCACCTTCCAAAGGATGGGAGTTTTATTCTTCCTTTCTCTCTCTCTCCCCCAAACTGGAGTCTGGCCTGCCGAGGGTTAGAGGGTGAGAAACGCCTCGCCACGTTAATTCTGGGTAAGTAGCAGCAAACGGCAAACAGGTGCGTCCAAGCCCAGTGCCCGGTCCAGGAGAAGGGGCCCTGCTCCCGCCTGCCAGCGCCTTCATCGCAGCGGGAGGGGCTCCGTCTGGCGCTGTGACTTGGCTCCTGGTCCCAGCGGAAAGTCCTGCAAGGAAAGCACGTGGACCATCCCTGGACTGCAGAAAACGGATCCCGGCGAGATGGGAGGATTCTTTTTAATTAAATAAATTAATATTATTTTTAATCAGAATAAATCGTTAAATATTGCTATGATGAGGCCCAAGGTCCAGAGTTTCTGCGGAGAAGGGCTAGGTGCCAGCCCAGGGGTTCTCCCCCAGCGGTGTCCGGGGGTCCAGAAGAGCAGCAGTGGGTGGAGGAGAGGGCGCTGGGGAGCGCGTCCCCTCAGCAGGAAGGGGTCTGCGGGAACCCCACGAGAGCGCCCCCCTCAGCTACCATGGCCGCGGGAAAGATCTGGGAGGTGAACCGCAGTGGTGAGGCAGGGAGCCGGTGCTGTCCGCTGAGGTCTGGGGTGCAGCGGGCGGGGCTACGGGGCTCACTGGCCCGTCCGTGCCCCAGAGCTGCACGTGTGCACCCCAGTGCACTCCCTAGCACGGGTACACCCAGTGCCGCATGCGTGCACCGTGGCACACTCACTTGCACGTGTACACCTCGGTGTGCTCGCTGCACGTGTTACACTTGACGTAGCAGCACCAGTGGAATTTGCAGTTGCACTGCCACACGCGGGCGTACTGGTGGGTGTTGTAGCCGCGGCCACAGCACATGAGGTCGCAGCCGCTGGCCTGGGGCGCCGTCTTGTTGCACGCACGGCCCTGTGTGCCCACGCTGCCCGTCACCGGGTCCTCCTCGCAGTAGTTGGGCGACTTCTCGATGTACACCAGGTCCGTGTCCATGGGCTTGCGGTAGGACAGGGGCTTCTTGATCTTCAGGAAGGCGGGCCGCTTGTTGCGGCTGGCGCGCACCGGCTCCACGTGCACCGCCTCGTTGTACTTGTCCTTGAGCACGTAGCCCAGCTCGCGGAACTGCGGCAGCGTGGTCCAGCACGTCTTGGTGGTGCACGAGCCCGACACGCCGTGGCACTTGCACTCCAGCTTCATGTTCTCCTCCAGGATCTGCAGCGGGGAGCGGGCGGGAACACGTCACTGCTTGCAGGGCTGGGTACCGCGCCCGCCCCGCCCCGCCCCCGCCCGGCCCCGCCCACCAGCCCCGCCCACCAATCCCCGCTCACCAATCCCCGCCCAGACAGACAGCCCCGCCCATCAGTCCCGCCCCGCCCACCAAGCCCATCCACCCAGACCACGCCCACACAGCCCTGCCCTGCCCACCCTGCCCCACCCCAAAGGCCTCGCCCCGCCTACCCAGTCTTTCCCCACCCACGAAGACCCGACCTGTCCATCAGGCCCTCCCTACCCATGCCCCGCCCAACCTGTCCGTCAGGCCCCGCCCACAAGACTCCGCCCCAGGGTCTCTCCCCGCCTATCCAGCCTTGCCCTACCCTTCCAGACCCACCCCGCCCATCAGGCCCCGCCCACTAAGTCTCACCCCGCCCCACCCACCCCAGAGCTGCCCCACCCATTCAGTCTCGCCTGGTCAACCTCAGCCTTGCTCAACTCCTCCCCAAACTTATGTTTTTCTTTCCTGCTGCTGGGAACCCAGACCTGGAGTCCCTGACCTCAGGCCTGGGGCTCTGCCTTCCACCCCACACACTGGAGCCTGCTTGACCTTCCTCTTAGGCCCTTCGTTTGGCAGGTGGGTGAGCTCTGGGCAGCTCAGACCAATACACTGGTTCTCTCTGGCCTGCCAGCACAGGGCTAAACATTTTGGAGGGGCCAAGGGGAGGGCGCCTTGCATGCTGCCAACCCCGTTCAGTCCCTGGCACCCCATATGGTCCACTGAGCCCCACCAGGGAGTCAGCCCTGAGCATCCTGGGCGTGGACCGCAACATCATAATAAATAAATAGATTTTTTTAAAATCATTTTGGAACCAACATTGAAAAACTGAGAGATTTTAAAAAGCCATTGATGGCAGATCCTTTTTTTTTTTTAATTTTTTTGGCAAAGTCAAACACCAAGCAACTCTAGGCAGAAATCCAACTGTTCTAATAAACAGGTACCACTGGGTGCTGACCTGCTGGCATACAGCTGACCACCAATGCCGAAGCCCAGTCCTGCTGTCCCAGGATGTCACAAGATCCCAGCCTTGTCACGGCAACAGCTCTGAGAACCTTCTTTAGAGCTCCCTGCCCTCCCTCGGCCACAGTCCTCACCACTCCCTATTGCCTCCTGGGAACAAGCTGTGTTTCAGCAGAGGTCACGGAATTGGATGCCTTATGCCTATCAGGTGAGGTACACATCGGGTCTGAGAGCCCGGGCACTGGGTCTACCATCCCTGGCAGCTGCTACATGGTATGTGCCCTCTCCCTTCTTCTAAACTCCCCTGGGCTTCCATCATGGATTTCCATAAGGGAGTACTATGTGGGTGGGAAGGCGCGGCCCTGTTGTGAGCCTGCCCCCTCAGTCATCTGTGCAGTTGGGTAAATGAGGTAAGTGAAGGCAGCAGAAAGGAGACGCTGGGGCCCAGGTGTCACCCGGGGGCGTTTCTGGGTGCTGCCGGCCTCTGTTCCTGCCCAGGACAGACTTCATGATTCTCTCCTGCTGGCCCCGCCCCGTGAGCCATTCTTGCCCCAAAGCTGATCTCACCCTTTGGGCAGCTCAGATAGAGAAGGGAGCACCAAATAAAGGGTGTTGGGAGGATCCGCCTAGGATGGGAGAAGCATGCTGAAAGTAGACTCTAGACCCAACATGATTGCCACTCAATGCCTCTTTTGCAAACCACAGCACCCAAAAGAAGTGAGAGAACAAAGGGGAATGCCCTGCCACAGAGGCAGGGTGGGATAGGGGGGATGGGGGGTGGGAGGGATACTGGGATCAGTGGTGGTGGAGAATAGGCACTGGTGGAAGGGTGGGTACTCGATCACTGTATAACTGAAACCCAAGCACAAAAATTTGTAAGTCTACAACTGTACCTCATGGTGTTTCACTAATAAAAATTAAAAAAAGAAAAATAGAAAAGCACAAGCCTAGTGGCCAATCAGCATGTGAGGAGCTCCACTGGGCGCCAGGCTGCTGAGAGGCCCAGCACCCAGTTGCTTCCTGGCATCCAGGATGTGAACAGAAGGTGCAGACCTGGACGTGTGTGCCACCCCCAAATGCCGGGGTGGAAATCCTAACGCCTGAAGGTGACGGTTGGTCATGGTAGCGGGGCTCCAGGGGAGGGGCCTTCACAGTGCCTCCCAGGACTAGGAGACACCGCGGCCCAGGCCCCTGGAGGACCTGGGAGAACATGCTGGCCAGAAAGCCGGAAGTCCGCCCGAGGCCGCTCTTGCCGCATCAGCCCTGGGCCTCGCGCTCCAACGCCCGTGCACCTGCTGAGCATGGGGGCCCGTCCCTGGTGTCCAGAGTTGGCAGCTGGCAGGGGCTCGGCAGTTCTGCTCCTGAGGTGCAGGGCCAGAAGCAGGGACACTCAAGGTCCGCGGTGAGACTTAGGAGCCGCACACAGATGGGGCTGGAGCGACAGCACAGCAGGTAGGGCGTTTGCCTTGCACACAGCCGAGCCGGGTTCGATTCCCAGCATCCCATATGGTCCCCTGAGCACCGCCAGGAGTGATTCCTGAGTGCAGAGCCAGGAGTAACCCCTGAGCATCGCTGGGTGTGACCCCAAAAGAAAAAAAATAAATAAAGCCGCGCACAAGGGCGCCTCCTTCCCGAGCCCACCACAGCCGGGGCACGGGCGAGAAAACAGGGAGCCGGCCACAAAGGGAACAGGCTCTGACGGGCCGCAGCCTGGGGGAAGCCATGGGCCGAGGGAAGAACCAGCCCCACGTGGACCTCAGCCGCGCTTGTTCATTTTGTAGGGCCAGGGGGAACAGGGGACCCCCAATTGGCCCCAGGGCCACTCCCAGCCCTTCTCTCCACCAATGAGGCCGTGCTTCTTCTGTGCTGAGGCCCGAGGAGAGGATGCCGCAGTGCTAGGCGCCGCCAAGGTCACCTCAGTGGTGCTCAGCAGCCTCCAGGGGTGCTGAAGGTGTGGCCATTGGTGCTCAGGGGAATCGGGGGATGCTGGGGATCGAACCCGGCTGGGGCCTACGCCAGGCATGTGCCTTCACCCTGCCCTGTCCTCCTAAGATGCATTTAAACACCATCTGGAACTTAAAGATCTATAGAGTCGCGGATAGATCCGTGGGCTGGCTGGAAGGTGAGGACACCGGGAGTTGCTGGGTTGCATGTGTTGGTTTCCCTCCGAGGTCATAAAAAACATTACAAAATCAATCCACACCACGGCAGCCCATTATCTGCAAATATATCTCAAAGTGTAGAACAATGCACTTCAAGCGAGCCCGGGGCATGCGCCGTGAATTACACCTTAATAAAGTTGGTTGGGGTTTTTTGGTTTTTTTTTTTTTTAAGCTTTTAGCGGAAAGTGATGCATTGTGTTTGCAAGGCTGGGACCAAGTGTTTTCGCTGCGGTGGGCACCGGGCAGGAAGCCCAGGTGCCCTTGGGTCCTGCTGGGTCCGGCTGCCACTCCCTCAGCTCGTGGCTTTCACACATTAACCCCCTTCTTCCCATGAGGCCACTAGGAGCCCCGGGGCCATCTCAGTATTTGGGGGAGGCCCTGATCAACACCCCATCTCTAAGCCAGCAAACTCTGCATCTTGAGAACCCACTGTGACCACAATTATGTCTCCACTAACCTGGGCAGGACTGGTGGCCGAGGTGGACAGCTGGATGGGTACACAGTCCCCTCGCCAAGATGGGGCATTAGCATAGAAAGTGTGTGGACACGTGCTCTGGGGGCCAGAGAGATAGTCTGGGGGTTAAGGCACTTGTGTTGCATGTGGCCCACCCTAGTTCAATCTCTGGCATCACTCAGGGCCCCTCAAACACCACCAGGAGTGGTTCCTAAGAGCAGAGCCAGCCTCGAACTCAAAGCTCAAGTCTTTGCACCCTCTGAGGCTATTACCATCACCCGGGGCTCCAGAAACCTTGAATTAAGGATGATTCAGAGACGGTAGAGGGACTGAGGGGTGACAAGGCACCCATCCGTCCATCTTCCTTCCTGCCTTCCTCCCTCCTTCCCTCCCTCCCTTCCTTCTTTTCTTGTTTCCTCCCTCCCTCCTCCCTCCCTCCCTCCCTCCCTCCCTCCCTCCCTTCCTTCCTTCCTTCCTTCCTTCCTTCCTTCCTTCCTTCCTTCCTTCCTTCCTTCCATCTCTAACCTACTTTTGCCAGTCAGGCCCCTTCCAGCAGTGCTGGGTACAAGGCCGTTTCCCCCATCCTAGCTTCAGGGGGGCACATCCCGCACCCATGCAGTTACCCCCAGAAACTCTCCCACATGTCTCTAGGTGTGGGAGGGCAGCAGAGTCCGGGGGACCCCAGGCAGAAGAGGGCTGGGAAGACGGTGTGGGCACCCCAGAAATCAGTTTGTTCTCTCATCAGTGACTGTGAGAAACAACAAATTTGGGGGCTTCCCCCATTCGGGGTCATGGCCCCATCACCACGACTTGCCTAATAGTATCATCACCCCCCGGACCCCTCCCCGCAAGAAACTCATGGGCATGAATGGTCAGTCCCCCGCCCTCTCCTCCCTCCTGCACTCTGTTCTAGAGAGTTCCTTTAAACAGGGACCTAAAGCATGTGGCCTTCTGGGACCATCTCTGTTCCCAGCTGCACCCCCACGTGTGGGGAGCACGGGCAGAACTCCTCCCTGCCGTGGCTGCCCTGGGGCCCACCTGTGGCCAGTGGTGGCTTCCCGAACTCTCCTTTCTTCCCATCCACATCTTCCTGCCGTCCACCCGCGGCTCAGCCCTGTGCTCGGGCATCCCCGTTCGCTGCCTACACCCTCCGGCCTGTATCAGGGAGGCCCAGCGTGGCCTCAGGAAGGAAGCATGAGCAGCCCCCGGGAGGCGCGTGCCTGTGTGTGGAGTGACCACGAGCTGCCCACAGGCGCCATCTGATCCCTCAGGAGGCCCCAAGAGCCTAAAGGTCCACCCTGGGGCCCACCCTGGGGACAGGCCTGAGCGCCTGGACTCCACATTGTGCTTGTGGGAGGCCGAT